GCAGAAGCTGCTCTCCACTCACGGTTCAACGGTGACTTTTACCCATATATTGGGCACTGTTCATGGAAACAAATCAAGAAATGAAAAATGAAACAAGCTCAAGCCATTTCTCTGTTTCTCTCTGCTTTGTCTCTCTAATGTTTTATCTTGCAGATTTCAGTGGGATCAGGATTAGCTTGGGTTTGCGACGGGCTAAGAGGAATGGACTCTACATGTGAGATCAGGATCGAATTGTTGGAGGTCAGCGGGCTGTGTGTACTGGAGCAAAGGAGTCGGACGAGCTCGTGTAGAGGAGATGATGTTGCAGTTGGGTCAGTGTTGGTGACAAACATGGGAAGTCCGACGTCTGCGTGAGTTTTGTATGGGAAGCTTGCGGAAGAGATCAGGATTTAAGTGGATCAAAGATCGACAAAGGGATTGTTGGTTATGAGATGCATTCGATGTAGGTTACAGATGGTTTGAGGATTTGATCGGCATTGAAGCAGGCGATGGGTTGTTGAGCATGGATGAAGAAGAAGATTGTACGGTTCAGGGAAAAAAGAACAAACAAAGACTTCATTTCATTCTTGGTTTTATAATGAGTGGGGGAGCAATGGACGAGCTACTTTTGCAAGATTTATGTAGGAATTATGAGGGGGAGATGCGAGCTGCGCTAAACAACATGTACAGTGTTTTTTCTTTATCTTTTTTAAATTCTATCAGATGATGATGATAATAATAATAATATTAATTATTATTATTATTATAGAATTGATAAAAATGAGATAGAATTTTGCACGTCTCGAGATTTGGATGCTGCCACCTTGGGATCCATGCCAATTTTCTCACATGAATTTAATTGTGCAATATTCTCATCATTTTTTATAGATAAGATGATATGAATGCAACAACGAAGTCATTTTTACGATTGAGCGTCGTTTGGGTAGAGTTATGTGTCATTTTCAGGCGTCAATTGTCGATTTGGACCATTTTCACTTAGTTTGAATGTGAGGCACTTCCTTTTAGTTAAATTCGATGCTCTAATCACAACAACTCAGTATGTTTGATGATTAGAGGTCATTCAATCCTTTAAGTAACACATCGTGCTGCCAATTGTCACTGGAGTCGTCGATTTTGCTCTTTTTTGTGTTAAGTGAATGGGTCTACACAACTGTTGATGCATATCTTCATCTTCAAATTTATTTAGCACACCTGAAATATATGAGTAATACTTAAGAATCAAAATAGTGCTCACAAAGTGACCTCTAATTTAAAAATTAATAACACTTACAAAAACAATCATATATATCAAAATCAATGTAAATATATATTACCTGTTATAATTGCCTAACTTCGTGGTAATGTTATCTTTAAATTTAATAATCTGATTTTCACCTACCGTATCAACTAAGTCTACATCAACATCCAAAATAGCAGTTTGTTCGGCTTTCTCTACTACTCTGGACTGATGTGCCTCTAGATGAACAAAATTTTCATCTACAACACTTTCCACGAATTCATGATCAATCTATAATATATATCTTCAGTATAGTTATGTATTGTCATTGTAGTAGCCACAAAAAAGTGTTGCCTCTTGAATGAATAATTAAGAATCTCTTTCATAATACTCTTTTTTTCACATGCCAAATGAACATTCTATTACACTTCAAAGTGTTGAGTTTCTACTCTTGAAAATCTCTAGGTGTTCCCTTATAGACCTCCTGCTTCACACACAATTTTGTATGTGATACCTCGTCTCTATGTAAGGCTTTGAAAATCCACTTTGTAGTGGGTAACCAACATTAACTAACAAAAATTTGAGTAAACAATATCAGATAGGAAATTTTTTTCTATTTATAGAGATGTTAATTTTTGTTCGTACTACAAGATGAAATATATATAAGAAATTCATCATGTAAATTTTGAGTACCTAGAGGTGGAGCTGGAAAATTACATCTGAGATCCATCACAGCCAATTGAAATATACGAGCATTATAAGTTGAATCCTCCCATCTAGGAGTAGCAAATGTGAAATACATATTGAAATCACATGCAACCATAACATTCTTAGTTGGTGAATGATGTCATATTGGGTAAGCAACCTTTTCTTCAACAGGGATGCATGCATCAATGTGCTATCCTTGAAATATGGAAGTCATGGTATATTATAAAGAATTAGTGATGGGATTTCATAAAAACACTTATCTAGTGTGACAATAATGTCCATTAATGACGAACTAATGCTTGTAGAATGGTATAAAAATATCTACCAATGGTTTCTGTGGAGTGTGGGAAAATGCCCACTTGTGGCTCTTATAGACTCATTATGTCCCAAAATTTATAATGTATTGCAAGTGTATCTCTACTAGTAGTTCTATGAGAGCCGTGTAACCCGTCCGATGATTTAACCAAACAAAGTAAATCCATTAAAATAACTTGCGACTTTCTAAACATACTATGAAATCTCATCAGATGTCCATATGATAACTCGCACACCCATTTATCTCTAGTATGTGTTAATATCATGCGAGGACTCTTATCCACATAATGATTAGTAGTCATGTATTAGACAAATTTGATGCAATAAATATATGACTAAACACCAAAATGCTCATTAACTTGAGCCATATCTTCATCAATTTTGTCACTTTCAAAACATAACGAACCCTCAGAAATAATGGATCTAAGATTCAAACAATACATAACATTTCATTATCAAAAAATAATTATAAAATTACTTCACAAAACATGTAAAGGAAATAAATCCCAAAATATAATTTTTATTGTAACATATTTCATTTTCATGCAGTCAGTAAAGAAAAAATTTTAATAGGAATTCATGATGAAATTACATAAGAGCAGCTAGCTGCGGATATTTTACAAAAATGCATATATAAAATAATTATCTTATATTGTAAGAAACTCCTAGATGTTTTTTATTTTTTTATTTTTAAATATTTTCGTATTTTATAAAATAAAAATAGCTGAAGTTAAAATTATGTAAAATCAAACTAGGACAACCTTAATTCCACTGCGTGAGTGATAATTTCAGAGGCAAGTCCTATAAGAACACAAATTTGAAGCAAAATATAATATTAGACTGGAGGGGCGTGCTTCCGCTACTTTAGACAAAAGTAATGAAAAAATTTTAATACAAAACTTTTAACGTTACATGTAACATTTTAAAGCAATCAGTAAAGAAAAAAATTTAATATGAATCCATGCACATGAAGCAGTAACTCAGCGAACTAGAAAAAGGAGTTGTTGGCTGCAGCTATTCTGCAGAAATACAGTAAAATTAAAACTTTTTGCTCAACTAATGCTTCCTATCAACTTAAGATGCTATAAAGATATTTTAATTAATTGTTTTATGTTTTGTTTGGAATGGTTTTTAAAGCAGCTTTTTAATATAAAAATTAAAATTTTGTATTAAAAAATTATTTTAATAAGCAGTAAAAAAGCCGTCCAAAACAATGGCTTAATTATGCAGACATGAACTTTGAATGGAAGTTTTCTTGAAAAAATGCATCGAATATAGAAATAATGATAAATGCATATGTAAAATAATTATCTTACAATGTAAAGTACTTGCTACCAGATTTTCTTAAACTGAACACAGGAAAATATTACAGGTAGTTAAAATTTTTACTTATTAAAAGTAAATTACATTCTACCTGTACCTGAAAAACGGTGATGAAATTGGCTTTTTTATTTATGAGGATGCAATTTTCATCTTCCTTTCTAGTATAATGACATTTTATTAGTACAATAATGATGTTTTATTGTCCATTATCAAGCCAGCAGTTTTAAATATAGCTTATGTAGTATCTACGTACTTTATGCCAGAATAATGAAACTTTATTATTCATCTCAGTTTTGGAAGTCAGTAAAGCATTGTGATGTTCTCTCTCTCTTTTTTTTTTTTTTTTTTTTTTTTTTTTTTTCCATTATCAAGCCAGCAGTTTTAAATATAGCTTATGTAGTATCTACGTACTTTATGCCAGAATAATGAAACTTTATTATGTTTTGGAAGTCAGTAAAGCATTGAGATGTTCTCTCTCTCTTTTTTTCTTTTCTTTTTTTTGATTGATTTTAACATCTAGACATGTTCTCTGGGAAACTAGACACTAAGAAAGGTTCTTCAGGGATGAGGTGGTGTTTCTAAAGAGACTGCCATGGCTCTGAAGATTTGGGTACAGCCATAGATTCTATAGATCAAGTGTCACAGAAAAAATTTATGGAGTTTTTATTTCGTGCAGCAAAAATAGCATAAAAGATTCCTTTATTCATGCAATAGCATTATAGCAGAAATCAAAATAACATTTTTTCATTGAACAACATGGATACTGTTCGTACTCAAACAACACAGTTAATAAGTAAATTGCAATGTAAACAAACTATAGGAACACTGCTATAGGGAATTGAAATTAATAACACAATTTATTTCTGGATTGATTGCCTAAAAAAGAAGAATTACAAAGATGCTTAGTTATGTCTCTTCTGTTATTAATTAAGTTATAGTCCTACTGACTATTCTTCTAAGCTAGCCACCAAACTTTTCTTTCAAAGGGTAGTTACATGAAAGTCTCTTTGTTATTCTTATGAAGCATTAAATCTGTGACAAAGTCATATAGCTCAAATGTTATCAAAGATATTTGGTATGCTAGCTATCTCTTCCAACACCAAAAGTATTGTAACTGATCTACGCATGACATTAGATGTGGTTATGGAAAAGCTTATAGATCTAGCAACATTTATGAGATCCTCGACATGGTCTACAAAAATCTACCTAGTCCCAACCTAGGTGTTTCACTCTTTTCTATCCATGCATGAATGGGGCAGCATTTTGTAATATTTGTAAGTCACATTTTCCTGGAGGGTCAACTGCATTGACATGTACAAGAAGTGGATGACCATCTTAAGTGTACTACAAATCTGCAATGACATGTACAACTGCATTAACATGTACAACATGAGTTTCTTTGATCATCTATTAATTTAGTGGGAAGTACACCTGCATAAGGAACCCAAATATTACCGTCAATTGCGATAATGTGATATATAAACATGATATCAAGCTTCTCCTCTATCTCTGGTGTTATTCCATTGTAATGAGACTTTTTTGCGGTTGGTATAACAAATATTACTTCAAACAACTATTTAGGAACTGTCATATTTCACATAAAATTTGAATAGCAATTTAAATATCAAATAAATGTACAAGATGTGGATGGTCATCTTGTTTGTAATCTTCATCTGATGAGTATCTTTGATCGTCTGTTAATTCAAGGGGAAGTACACCTAAGTTAGTGTTGACCTCTGTATAATACCCAAAGGAAACGAAAATGAAATCATACCTTACCTCTATCGAATCCCCGAAATCCCGCTCAGATACCTCGTTTCGTCGAAGGAATCTCGCAAATCCTACTGCGAGTGTGTCTCTTCCAGGATATCTCACGAGCTCGCCTCGATCACACATCTGCTCGAGTCAATAAAATGAAGACGAAGTGAGGGGCTTCGTTTCCGCTTCTTTCCCGCATATCCCACGCACAAACCTCATAGCCGATACCTCTGTCCGTCGCCTATCCAGTTCGCAAGCTAAAGCCGCTAATCCCTCCATCCATAAGCCCTAATCGAAAGCTCTAATAGAGCCTTCATTGTGTCCGAACACCATCGAACCTCCAAACCAAAGCCCGATCTGACCTAGCTCTACCCGTCGGATCCACTTTGCTTCCCACTCTGACGCTGGTTTCACTCCAGATCGAAGCCGACCCTCACCCGATCTCTCTGAAGCCCGAACGATCAGTCCCCCTACGTGCATCCGACCTCCTTCCCTACCCGATCTCCAGCCGACGCCAGGACCTATACCCGAGCTCCTCCTTCCTGTTCCTCCCCAGTTAGCGATTGAACCGAACCCGGATCTCGCTCTACCCAGGCCCTAATCTGACATTTCCACTTCTCAAATATATATATATATAAAGAGAGAGAGAGAGCAAAAAAAAAAAAGAATAAGAAAAAGAAAAATCCAAAAAAAAGAGAGATTTTATGAATTTTAGTTTTCATCATCGCCTCCACACCACCTCATCGGAATGCAAAGTTATAACCCCTTCGATCCCTAAAACTCCGAGAGCCCAATTTCGATGCCTGCAGCGCGATAAAACGACCACATATACATGTTTTTCTTAGCGTGGTGGGATGAAGTTCTGTCATGAATCTATTTTTCAGGAAATATAATTTTGATGATAGCAAACACTTCTGTTTCTCTACGATTGTCTTGCTTACTAACATTTTAGGTCAACAAGATCAAACTATAATTTTAACCAGCTCAAGATTGTATAGACTAGGTCTAAGTTAGTTTGTAAACTTTTTCCTTTCTTGAGTCTATTATAAACGATGTGTCTGGGACGATCCAAAAATCAGCCCGGATGATCAGTTAAAAATAAGAACTTTAATTAGGGCATCCTGGTTAAGGCAACAGTCATTATGCACATCATCCTAGACGATATTCATATCCGCCGGGATGATAGGCTCAAATCAAAAAGAATCAGCCGCCAGATCTATTTAGGTATTATTTATTTTTGGACATCATCCAGGACATCATCTTGGATGATGAAACACAATTATACCTAAATTAATCTGGTTATTAAGAAAAGCAATTAAGGTTTGATTGTCCAATCAAATCGTTCTGGACGATTGCAGGATCGGCCGGGACAATCAGTTCAAAAAACCTTAGTTGTTCCTGAACGATCAACATCGGCCACCTTCTATTCAGTACAATAGTTTGGATGATTTTCAAGGATTTGAACTAATCGTCTGAGACGATCGTGAGATCAGCCTGGAAACTCAAGCTATTTTTCCATCGTCCAGGCATCCATTCAGTGTAATTATCTGGATAATATTTAATGACTTGTACTAATCGTACAGGATGATATCTTATCATCTTCGATGATATGAATAAAACCTTCTGATCGTCCCAAACCATCCAGGCTGATTGAGAGAAATTTACGCTGATCAGCCAGGACGATAAAGTCGGTTTGTTTAAATTAAGAGCTATTCCGAAACTCACCTATTTAAGACCTCTTGTTCTACCCAAGAGATCATCTTTTGCTGATATCTTAACCTGAGAGAGCCTAGAGGACAGGGAGAGAAAGGGGGAGAGAGAGAGAGGGTCTTATGAGGGGGAGTTTATGAGGGGTTTTACAAAGGTTTCTCTAATTAAGGATCCAAGTTGTCTTCTATGATCGTTGTCCCTTGTTCTTGGAGGCTCGAGAGAGGTCCACTTCAGCAATCAATCAAGGCTCTCTGCCTGCATCAGGAGGAAGCAAAAGTTTTCTGCCTCACTGGCGTCGGTGGAAAGGAGGTTTTTGTATAGGCTTCTTCGCCTTTGTGTGGGAGCAAAAGGAGAGTAATTGAGTTTAGTGCAATACTCAAAGGGCGCCTCCAAGGAGTGGACGTAGGTTGAGTTGACCGAACCACTATAAATTTATGTACTCTTTACTACTGCTTTTTTCGCACGTTAAATTTCTTTATGGTGAATTTTGGTTTGGTTGAGTTTTTATTTTTGATTGAAATATTTTTTAAAATACCAATTCCCCCCCCCCCCCACCCCCCTCTTAGTTAGCTTGGGCTAGTTCATAAGTGCTTATCATCCCTAACAATATTTTAAGTGGTATCAGAGCGGGATTCATAAAATCAAGTTTTTGAAAACTTCTAAATTTTGATCTATGAATAACTCCGGTAATCGTAATACTATGAAAGGGTATTCTATTACCCGACCACCTTTATTTGACAATATTCCTTTTGATTTTTGGAAAACTTGCATGTCTACTTTTTTACAATCGATTGACTATCACATGTGAATGCTAGTTAAGGATGGTTATACACCTCCTTATCATGAAATTAATGGCATTAAAACTGAACTTTCTTTTACTGAATGGATTTTTGATGAAAGAGATTTATCACAACTTAATGCGAAATATTTGAATTATTTTTTCTATATTTTAAAATTTCAAGATTATATGCGTGTTTCAACTTGTGCAACTAGTAAAAAAAAATTGAGATAGATTGTATATTACTTATGAAGGAACCAATGAAGTTAAGTAATCTCGATTGAATATATTATTGTATGACTATGAACTTTTTCGTATGAAACATTCTGAATCAATTTCTGACATATATATTAGGTAAACTTAAATTGTCACCTCATTGCATGCTTTAGAAAGAGAGCTAATAACTAATTATGAAAGAGTAAATAAAATTTTAAGAAGCTTGCCTTCTTTCTTTGATGCTAAGATCACTATAATAACTGAATCTAAATATTTAAATACTTATTCTTTTAATAATTTGCTTGGATCACACATTGCTTACGAGCAAGAGGTGAATCAGAGAAATTTTGATGTAGTTAAGAAAAAGAATGAGAAAACTGTGGAGCTGAAGGCTAACAACACGAACTGGTTCTTTCGGGTCTAAAAGCGATGATGTTGCCTTAATCATGAGGCAATTCAAAAACTTTTTAAGAAAGAAGCACAAGAAACATTAGAAGTGGAATAATGGTAAGGGCAGCAAAAATTTTAAGAATTCTAATAATATGATCTGCTTTGAATGCAGAAAGTTGGAAAATATTAAAGCTGATTATCTTACACTTAAAGCTAACTCAAGCAAGAAAAAGGGTGAGGAGAAATCCAAGTTCAAAAAGGATAAGAAGAGGTTCTAAAAGGCATTCTAGGCGGATTCGGCATCGGACTCCTCTGAGACTGAAGCTGAAGAGGACACTATAAACTTGTGCTTGATGGCAGACGTTCATCTTGGTCAGTTTGACCAAGAAGAGGTATGTGAACTAACCTACGAACAATTACTTGAAGTTTCTGAACAAATCCATACATCATATAGGAAACTTAAGATATCACATGCTAGTTTGAAATTGGAGCTTTTAAATTTATAAAAGAGCATGAAATTTTACTTAAAGATCATTCTACAATTGATACAAATCACATGTCATTACTTGATGAGTTTGATGCATTAAATAAAAAAACATACTGAATTATCTGATACACATAATTCCTTGAAGTCATCTTATGCTGAGTTAGAAAAAGAGTTAAAAAAATAACAAAACCTTAAAGCTTTTGAAAATAACAAACCAATATTACATGTATCACATAACTTTAAAAGGAAGCATTACTATCTGAATAGATTAGTAAATCTTTTTTCTTGTGTTGGATATTTTACATGTGGCATATTATGACACATTTCACACACTTGCACTATTCATTATAGTACACAACGGGTGTGGAGACCCAAATTATATGATTCATAGCATAATATATATGCATTACATTTTTCTTTTCATAAGAAGGGACCCAAACATGTTTGGGTTCTTAAATTTGACATTTAATGATTTTGTAGGCTTGCTCACAAAAGGCCTTGTGAGAGCATGTGGTACTTGAACAGCGAATGCTCACGACACATGACTGGAGATGCTAATTAATTCATTTTGTTAGAGGCTAGGGATAGAGGCAATGTTACTCTTGGAGACAACACCACCAGGAAAGTAGTGAGCACATGTATAATCAAAAACTACAAGAACCTTTTGATTGAAAATATTCTGCTTGTAGATGGACTGAAACACAACTTGCTTAACATCAGTTAGCTTTACGATAAAGGCTTCATCTTAAAATTCTTAGCAAATACTTACATTATAAGCTTAAATAACAACACTGTTTTATAGGGAAAGCTAGCGAATCAATAATGTTTACATGCTTGACTTAAATAATATTGAATGTGCTGCTTCATTTTGCTTAAAAACTATTGCTGATGATTCATGGTTGTAGCACAAGAGATTATGTCATGCCAGTATAAAAATCCATAGGAGAGTGACCCAGAAAGACCTAGTTAGAGGTGTTCCCGAGCTTAAATTCTTTAAAGACCCCCTTTGTAATGCATGCCAACTAGGGAAGTAAGTTCAATCTTCTTTTCACTCCATTAATGATATTAGCACCTCTAGACCTTTAGAAGCCCTTCACATCAGTTTGTTTAGACCCATTAGCACTACCAGCTTAGGGGAAAAAGTCTATGGATTTGTGATTGTCGATGACTACTTAAGGTTTACTTAGATTAGATTTCTGTCACATAAGAATGAGTCTTTTGATGAGTTTAGATCCTTCTTCACTTGGATTCAGAAAAAGCTAGGTTGTGAGATTTTGACCATCCTTAGTGACCATGGGGGAGAGTTTGAGTAGTGACAATAGGAGAGAGTTTGAAAATGAGAGATTTAGAGACTTCTATGAGGATAAGGGGATTAGTCAAAACTTCTCAGCTCTTAGGACCTCTCATTAGAATGGTATAGCTGAAAGAAAGAACTAGACCTTAGTTGAAGCCGCTAGAGCCATGCTTGCTGAGTATTCACTTCCAAAATACTTTTGAGCTGAAGTAGTAAACATAGCTTGTTATGTGTTAAATAGGGTAAATTTTAGAGTCAAACTTGATAAGACACCCTATGAGATCTTTAACGGTAGGATACCCAACCTTTCCCACCTCCACATCTTTAGTTGTAAGGTTTTCATTCTTAATAATGGGAAGTTACACTTAAGAAAATTTGACCCAAAATATGATGGAGTGTTCTTAGGATATTCAAGTATTGGGAAATCCTTTAGGGTGTTTAATAAGAGGACTTTGGTGGTGGAGAAGATTACTCATGTAGTGTTTGATGAATCTGATCTTAAGAAGTCTAGAGTTGAGGATGAAGATGAAGTTGGAGAGATTACCACAGGAGTTGAAAATTTGGAGAAGAGGGTAGAACCCCAAAACACTGAAGGCGTAGGTGAGTTACCCATGGAGTATAAAATATAAATTTCAATGAAAGGGTTGAACCTACACACACCTTGCCTAGAGATTAGAGATTTCTTTGAGTCATCCTAAAGAA